GCACTGAGGATTCATTTCGCCACCCAGCCAAACCTCACCACCAAGTCGCCATCTTTCCGCTTGCCACAGACCTGGCCAGGCGCATGTCGTCCGAATCCCTCCTTATCCCTAAACCCTAAACCCTAAACCCTAAACCCTAAACCCTAAACCCTAAACCCTAAACCCTAAACCCTAAACCCCTCAATCCGTGGCCCAGATGGTGGAGAATGGCGCCGAGCTTGCCAAGGCTTGGGGGAGTCGTCGCACACAGCTACAACCGGAGTGTGGGAACCCTAAACCGTAAACCCTAAACCCTGAACCCTGAACCTTGAACCCTGAACCCTGAACCCTAAACCCTAACCCTAAACCCTAACCCTACGAGCTCGAGCTTTCAGGGGGCTTCGCCGTTGTGCGGCATCGCAGGTTTGTGGTGACTTGCCGACGGGCAACGTTTAAGCAAGTTGTTTGGGGTTCAGGGTTTAGGGTTTTTTTGGGTTTAGGGCAGCTGGTCGGTCAGTTGGGCTGCAGCCAGCGGCGCAGCCGGAAATCCCCAAACCCTAGATTGTAGTCCCCGAACCCCGACTACAGGAGCCTTAATAACTAGAACAGGGTTTTGGGGGTTAGCAGAGTATGTATATATATATATATATCAAGGGACCATAAGGGAATATTATTAGTAATCATTCCGACCTTTCTATATATTCGGCCCTAAATAAATCATCGCCTTTTCTGGGTAGGGCTACGTCAAAATCGTCTACGACCAGCCGGGGCCTTGGAACAGAGGCGGATCAGCGGACCCGTCGGAAATCGCCCAAAATCCCATGGAAAAACCCGAAAAAGAGGGTTTAGGGTTTAGGGTTTAGGGTGCAGGAACACGGCAGGAATGAAGAACAAAGGAGTGTAGGAGGCATTTAGTGGGTATGCAGGAACTAGATTGGTGCAAGTACGGTGCTAGGGCCTTCCTTGGGTTCTCGTGGGATTCCCTTTTCAAGTGGTGTCGCCCCCCACTTGGTCTTCAAGTTTGAGGGTCTCTAAACCCCTAATTTGCTTCTGCGCCGTCTGTTGGGCATTTGCGCCCAGTCTCCCTGCACATACTACTTAGAAGATTTAGGGTTTAGGGTTTGGAGCGGCGGGGGGAGGGGGGGGGGGCGAGATTCCAAGCATCAAGAATAATATTACAGCTTATTCGTCCGGCTGATGCTTCCATGCACGAAGTTGATATTCCCCGTGCGAAATTACAACAATTTAACGTGCCAACCTGGTAACCCTAAGCCCAAAACGCTCAAAAAAGCCCTAAGCTCCAAACAATAGGGCCAGGGCTTATAGGGTTTAGGGTTGTTTAGGCTTACTGGTATGACGGCCAGTTGAATTCGGGGAGGGTTTAGGCTTGTTTAGGCTTTAACAACCCTAAACCCTCAACCCTCAACCCTAAACCCTAAATCCTAAACCCTAAACCCTAGGGCTGGGGGGGATGTGTGAGGTTCCTCGAGCTCACCAAGAAGCAGAACTCTTGAGCTTGTGCAGTCTGTGGCGGGCCTCAGCTACGTGCACTTTGCAGGGCTTTAGGGGTTTAGGGTTTAGGGTTGAGGGTTTTGGGGTTCAGGGTTTAGGGTTTAGGGTTTAGGGTTTCGGGACGGAGAAGTCGAAATCCGTGAGGTGCGTCAGACGGTGCAGCAGAGTGAGTCAATGCTGGAGCCCCAGCTGCTCCTACGACACCATGGGCACATGTGAGCAGCCTAACCCTTTCGCCGTAACCCTAAACACCGTAAACCCTAAACCCTAAACCCTAAACCCTAAACCCTAAACCCTAAACCCTAAACCCTAAACCCTAAACCCTAAACCCTAAACCCTGAACCCTAACTTTGGCTTGCTTCCAGCTCCATGCTTCTCAACTGGAGAGTTCAACACGAGGCCTGGCGTGCCTCGGAATTCAGGTGATGAGGTGCGGGACAGGCCAGGCACATAGAAGGCATCAAGTCCTTCGAAGCAGCCAGAACAGAGGCGTCCCACCATTTCTGTAGCACCTCCTCAGGCCTTCTTCTGAGGGATTCTTGGGAATAATTTTCATTTTCTGGGTACAGTACTGTAATTCCTAAGAAACAGCGAAAATGCTAGGGTTCCAGGTTCAGTATAGTTATAGTCTTGATCTTTCGAGGTTTGCATTAGGGGGGAGGGGACGCACTTCTGATGCCAGCTGTGTAGTTTCACGCGTTATGGAACAGCGGCTTCCGCAAAGTACAGTGGCAAGGTGCGGGGACAGAGGCTCCGCCGAAGTCGACACGGAAAACGATCCGAGCCTGCTGCGTCTTGAGGGTTTAGGGTTGTAGGGGTTTAGGTTTCTCGCCCTGCGCCCTCCCTAGTAGTGGCAACAGCAATAACAGTACCAATACCTTTAGCAATAGCAGTAGCAGTGGCAGTGGCAATGGCAAAGGCAACGGCAATGGCAAGAAAGGAAGCTGTTTCCTCATGATGATAGCTTGTTTTCAAAGGTCCCGCACTGGGTCTATTGCAAGAGTTTCTTGATACATTACTCGAAATTAGTCAGGGAAGTGCAAGGGAGAAGGGTGTAGGGGGCCCCATATTCCCTCGAGGCTCATAAAGGGCTTCCTGGGGCGTAGCAAGGCCTTCTTTGGGCAATAGCGGCCCTTACACTGCCTCGGTTCCTCATCATATACCTGTCGCAATATGCAGCTGGAAGATGTTCAGTAAGAGACAGGTCCTATCAGAAACCTTGGGGGCTGCATTGCAGTGAACCACCGAAGTCACAACGATTTCTTGTGGATCGCTGCCCACATTAGGGAGGAGCATCAAGAGTAGTCCAAACATTGAGCGGTCACAATGGGGAAATTGCTGTTGTTGCTAACCCCCTCTAGTGGCTCGAGGCCAATATATAGGCAAGAGCTTTACCTCACCTCGCGCGGACCTCACGCGGCCTCGCGCAGGCCCCAAAGGACATACCTTATCACAATGATCTCTCACAAACACAGGTTTCCCTTCACCGCGCATGTGCTTGGAGCAGCGGTTCCAAGGGTAGTGAGGCGTTTGTTGGGTAGTGCGGTGTTTGTTATGCGGGCGGTTCAATGGGGTTTGCCCTGCCAAGCCGTTTTTGTTATGACTTCGGTGTTTGCCTGGGGCGGCATTGTCTCTGGGCGGATTTTGCTTGGTCTGCCGACTGGGTACTGGTGCAGGTTTTGGTGGGTGTGTTTTAGGGCTCCTTACGAAGTTGGTGGGCGTGGGCGTATGTATACTTATAAAAAATATGCATATATGTATATGAATATATATAATATACATACATAAATACATATTTTTATAAACCCTAAACTTTCGGCCCTAAACCCTGATGTATGTGGGCTGTCCTTCTGGGAATGCTGGTATATGATCCCGATTTTCTAGGGCTCACTGAGTAGCCTAGCAGAATCCTGACACCACCGCGCCGCCAGAAGAGGCATTGTGCACAAAACATGGGCTACGCAATGGGGTTTAGGGTTTACGGTGTACGGTTTACGGTTTACGGTTTAGGGTTTAGGTATCTGCTTTCGCGGGCTACCTACCAGAGCTTCGGCATTTCGGCCCCATTGCCAAGGTTTGACAAAAGAGCTGAAGTTAACGGTCCCCTTGTCTGGGCTGCTCAGGCAGACCCGAAACCCTGAACCCCAAACCCTAAACCCCAAACTTTTAACACCCTAAAGCCCCTAAACCCCTCAAACCCCCAAAACCCCTAAACCCTAAACACAAAAACCCCTGGGATGCTTGGCGTGGCCATGTCACCCCTTGAGCGCCGACTGTCACGTAGCACGCAAGGGACCAGCAGCAGTGTTGCCTTAAGGCCAGGCTTGTGAGGCTTAGGGTTTAGGGTTTAGGGGTTGAGGGTTTTTGGGGTTTGGGGTTGTTGGGTTTAGGGTTTTAGGGTTTTAGGGTTTTAGGGTTTTAGGGTTTTAGGTTTTAGGGTTTTAGGGATTTAGGGTTTTAGGGCTTTTGGGCTTTTGGGCTTTTGGGTTTTGGGGCTTCAGGGTTTTGGGGCTTTAGGGGTTTAGGGTTTACGGCTTGGGATTTGAGGCCTTTTCGGGCTTCGAAAAGCCTAACAGGCCTAACAGACCTTAGTTGAGGAATAAACCCTAAACCCTAAACCCTAAACCCTAAACCCTAAACCCTAAACCCTAAACCCTAAACCCTGAACCCTGAACCCTGAACCCTGAACCCTAAACCCTAAACCCTAACCCTGACAGATGGAGCGGCGGCGACAGCATGAGCAGCACGCCGCCTTCCTGGCCACCCTCGTTGCCGCCCTCGCTGCCTCAAAGCACACAGCAGACGTGGCGAGCGCCTGCACCAGGACTGACATGGGCATTTCCCAAAGTAGGGGTACCCTTGAATCCCGAAAAAGGGACCCCCAAAAAGGGTACCCCCTTATCTTCGCAAACCCCACATGATGCACTTACACACGTGCAGGCCCCGCAAGCCCACGCCCCGGAAGCCCTTTACCCTAAAACCTGAGTCCCTCTAAACCCTACAACCCCCGCATACCGCCCCGCCGCACCCCTAAGCCCTACACCCTAAACCCCCAGGTTTAGACCCCTAAACCCCCTGAGTCCGAAGCCCTAAACCGCGTAGTTGCCCCCCACGCTTCGCCCTGTCGCATGAGGAGGTTCGGCCATGCCAAGGCGGGTACCGCAGGAGACAAGTCACTTCGGGTTTAGGATTCAGGGTTTAGGGTTTCGGGCCACAGGGAGAAGGGTGTAGGGTTTAGGGATAAACTCTAGGACGTATGGACCCAGAAGCCCCACACCACTAGATGAGGTTTGCTTCGAGACACCTGTAGATTGAGCTGGGATAGCAAGCTTGAAAACTAGCTGCCTCCTTGTTAGCAAGCGATTCCCGGTACGAGAAACGACACCTCCGACATGGACTCGAGACGTTGAGGCCATCCCCCCCCCAGAATTTTCGACCACTTGCACTGGGCTCGATGGCAGGCAGGTCTTAGATCGGAGACGCGTAAAGCCACGCGTCAGCTTCGAGCCATGACAAGGGCGCACATCTCGGACGAGGCCGAGCCCAAGATCTGGCCCCCGATCTGGGTGTATGGCATCAACGACCACCTCGACGTCCCAGGTGAGCTACCTTCTGGATTTGAGCCGACTGGAGCCTTAGGAGTAGATCTGCGAAAGCTGTGCTCCACGGTCAATGCCGCGGTGCACCCTGCCTTCCGGATGAAGAGGGCCCGAGAGGGACAGGCAGCAAGCCCAAGCAAGTCTCAGCTGCCCTCGTCGCACGAGGCCCGACGTCGGCCCAGCATGCTGGGGAAGGCGCCGGACATGTCTGCCCTGCTCGGTGGTGGCCTGGGCTTAGGTGGCTTTCATGAGGAGCCCAAGCCGCCGAAGGAAGGCCCAAACCTGATGGTGAAGTCCTTCCTCTTCGACCGGGCCACCATCAGCCTCATCGGCCTTCTCTTGCCGACCGTTCAGAACATCAAGGTCATGTCCTTCTCAGACTGCAACTTAGACTCTTCGTAAGCTGAATGAGTACACTTTACACTTGTTGATACCACAATCCCCCTGCAGAACTACCTGTTAAAAGGGCTTATGAACTCAGCAACTAAGGACTGTGAAATGCTCAGGTTGCTGGCTCGTGGCCTGGTGGGAAACTGCTCCGTGGAGTCCTTGCAGATCGAGTGGAACAACCTCGACCTGCCACTGCCCACCTTGACGGAGGACATAAACGGGCTCACCTTTACATGGATGTAGGGACACCAAAGCTCCTCAACTCCCTACCAGAATTCAGGGTTTAGGAGTTTAGAGTCTAGAGCCGACTAGGGGTTTAGGGTTTAGGGCTTAAGGTTTAGGGTTTCGGGTTTAGGGTTTAGGGGTTAGGGCGTCGGAGGAAGAGATACCGACGGAGGGTGAGGAGGGGGACGTGGAGACCTCGGCCTTCGACCGGGCCTCGAGCATCCTCGAAGCGCGCGAGAGGAAGCGCTACACGCTGCAGTCGGAGCGGCTCTTGACCAACTTCAAGGCCTGGGGTTTCGGGTTTAGGGTTTAGGGTTTAGGGCAGTTTAGGGTTTGGGGTTTAGGGTTTAGGCCCTTGTTCCCTTTTTTGGGAGCTTGGTGTCCCTTATAAGCCCCCTTTACAAAACCAAAAGAAGGCAGCCTGTTTATATTCCTAGGCAACCCTGGGGTCTAGAGCAGGAGTGGCTGGAGAGCCGCTTCGGCAGTCTGAAGCGGGCGTGGGAGGCCCTGGCGAGTTTCAATGGCGCGGAGGGCATGGAGGTGGGGCGTTGAGCTTAGAGCCCCCCCAAAACTAAAGGCCCTCAAGCTTAAAATGGGGTCTCTCGTATAGTCCGCTCCTTTGAGAGTACCGCCAAGAGGGCCCGGAAGCGAGATTTGGTTTCAACACCAAACAGTAGTACCCTGGGCTCTGAACCCTAAATCCGAAATCCTAAGCCCGACCCACACCCTAAACCCTAAGCCCGAGAACCTTGCGAAGCCCAGGAGAAGCTTGCGGCCCCCGACTTTCACAGCCGGCTCTTCGAAACCCTGGGGGTCAGTGGCTCCCAGGTCTTTGAGGTCTTCGAGGTGGCAAGGGATCACTACGGCCTTTTTGGGGTGTTGAACAGAATTTAGGGTTTAGGGATTAGGGTGTAGGGTTTAGGGCTGAGGGTTGAGGGTTAAGAGGTTCAGGGTTTAGGGTTCAGGGTTTGGGGGGGGGCTTAGGAGGTTTAGGGCTCGTAAGGTAGTTTATTTGGTTTATAGGCTCATTGGGCTTGCAGGGGACTGTGAGGTTTCGGGTTTCGGGTTCTCAAGTTCAGGGAACCTACTTGGAGGTTCATGGTACTTATTAAACAGGCACAACTGTACTTCTGACCCACTTATAAGCCCCTTGCGCGCCCTAGTATGGATATAAGTACAGCTATAAGTACCATTATTAATTGGTTAATACGTACAGCCATAAGCCCCTTAAGTGCCTTGTAAGTACAGTTATAAGTGCAGGTACCATGAACCTCCAAGTATAGCAGGTACTGGACGGACCAGACTACGGCGCAGACGGGGGTGGTCAGGTCTCACTCCAGGTCATGAAGGACAGGGTGTGCGGGCCAGAGGGTGTCGAATCGAGTTTAGCCCTAAAGCCTAAAGCCTAAAGCCTAAACCCTAAACCCTAAACCCTAAACCCTAACCCCCCACCCCCCCCCCCCCCCCGAGGAGGCCGTGGAGGGTCTGCCCGAGGCTCCGGAAACCGAGGAGGCGGAGGAGGAGCAGGAGGAGGATGCCCTTGGTCTAAGCTTCTTGGTAGCCCAGGGTTTAGGGTTTAGGGTTTAGGGTTTAGGGTTTAGGGTTTAGGGTGTTTTTGGTCCAAGGTTCCCTTGTAAGGTACCTAACCTCCCCAGAAAAAGGTGTACCCTTGTTTCAAAGATGGTTACTGGGCTACCAAGGCTTGGCAGCCTTCATCCAGCCTAGCACGGTGCTGGAGTGCGTGCCTTGGACTCGGGGTAATTTAGAATATTTTTTAATTTGTATGAAGAATATTTGTTATAAATTGTATAAGGCAATACGTTTTAAGTTGTGTAAGTCAATATTTGTTATAAATTGTAGAAGGTAACATATATTTAAATGAAATTCCAAGCCCTATCAAGCCCTAAGAGCCCATAGAGATTGAATGTTTCTAGGGCCCCCCAAATCCCCCCTGTAGTGGAGACTTCAGGCTGCATAGGCTGTTTCTTGGTTGGTTTTTGTTGACAATTATCGGTTCTGAAGTTTAAAGGGTTGAGGGGTTTAGGTGAGAGTGAGTGAGTGAGTGAGTGAGTGAGTGAGTGAGTGAGTGAGTGAGTGAGTGAGTGAGTGAGTGAGAGTGTGCGCGCGCGTTGGGTTTTGTAAAGGTTTGGCATTCCTCGGTCAAATCATGGTCCAGTTTCGGAGTCCCATACGGAGGGCTGTATTTAGGACACCCAAAAGGGACTCAGAATGCAGAAAACTGGATCATCTCGCAGGACCGTGCCCTTGCTACGTGTGCTTTGTTCTGTTTTGTCTTTTTTGCTTTGCCCTCCTGCTTGATCTGCAACCCAGCTGAGCCGTCATTCGCGCCAGCAAGTTCAGGCCTGTGAAGCCATCGTTACACACACAACAGGGCTGTACAATCCTTCGCACATCGCTGTGATCTGAACACCAGTTGAAGAATGATTCAGAAATACTACTACGAATGTGCAAAAACCGTTGCATTGAAGCCGTTGGACTCTCAAGAAAAGACATCGGGAAGGAGGTAAGCCACGAGCCCTAAGACAAAAAGGATCCTAAGCTCCAATCCGTCTAGGGTAGGCTGATGGGCCTTCACCCTAGACTCCTAGACTAAAGCATAACCCTAAACCCTAAACTCTCAACCCTAAACCATAACCCTGAGCCCTAAGCCCGAATCCGTCTGAGGTAAGCTACCGAGCCTGTTCGATTACTCGCTTTGAGCTGGGACCGCCCCCTGATTCAGAATTTTGCGTATATGTTTTGTTCGTTTCGGGGGTTTAGGGTTTAGGGTTGTGGTTCGGCGTTTAGTCTGTGAGGCGATTACCTGTTTTTCAAGGTGCGTCTTGAGGCCTCGGGGCTTAGGGTCTATGGGGCTTGGGTTTATAGGATTTAGGGCTTTGGGGGCGGCACCCCTCGCCGAATTTTTTCTCTAAACCCTAAACCCTAAAACCTAAAACCCTAAACCCTAAACCCCAAACCCTAAACCCTAAACCCCAAGACCCTCAACCCTAAACCCTAAACCCTCAGCCCTAAGCCCTGAACCCAGGTTATGCACCAGCTTGTCAGCTTGCCCCTGGCAGCTCAGGGCCTTGAACCTGCGCCTGGACTTAGAGTTTAGGGCTTTAGGGTTTTAGGGTTTTAGGGTTTTAGGGTTTTAGGGTTTAGGGTTTAGGGTTTAGGGTGTAGGGTTTGGGGTTTAGGGTTTTAGGGCTTTAGGGTTTTAGGGTTTTAGGGCTTTAGGGTTTTAGGGTTTTAGGGTTTAAGGGTTTAGGGTTTTAGGGTTTTAGGGTTTTAGGGTTTTAGGGTTTTAGGGTTTTAGGGTTTTAGGGTTTTAGGGTTTTAGGGTTTTAGGGTTTTAGGGTTTTAGGGTTTTAGGGTTTTAGGGTTTTAGGTTTTTTCCGGGGCCTTTTGCAGGGTGGTTGAGTGTGTGAGTGTGTCTCGTTTGCTTGCTTGCTTGCTTGCTTGTTTGTTTGTGTGGGCGCGCGCGCGCGCGCGTGCGCGTGCGTGTGCGTGTGCGTGTGCGTCTGCGTCTGCGTGTTCATGTGCGTGTGCGTGTGCGTGTGCGTGTGCGTGTGCGTGTGCGTGTTCATGTGCGTGTGCGTGTGCGTGTGCGTGTGCGTGTGCGTGTGCGTGTGCGTGTGCGTGTGCGTGTGCGTGTGCGTGCGTGTGCGTGTGCGTGTGCTGTGGTGTGTGTGTGTGGTGTGTGTGCGTGTGTGTGTGTGGTGTGTGTGTGTGTGTGTGTGTGTGTGTGTGTGTGTGTGTGTGTGTGTGTGTGTGTGTGTGTGTGTGTGTGTGTGTGTGTGTGTGTGTGTGTGTGTGTGTGTGTGTGTGTGTGTGTGTGTGTGTGTGTGTGTGTGTGTGTGTGTGGGTGTGCGTGTGCGTGTGCGTGTGCGTGTGCGTGTGCGTGTGCGTGTGCGTGTGCGTGTGGGTGTGGGTGTGGGTGTGGGTGTGGGTGTGGGTGTGTGTGTGTGTGTGTGTGTGTGTGTGTGTTTGGTTGCTTTGGTCGGGGTTTGAAGGCTTTTTTTTTATGTATGGTTGTTCTTGGCTGGTGGGCCGTACAAGGGCTTCTTCCAGGTTGTTAAATGCTTTCGTCTTGCTTTTGGGGGTTTGGGGCTTGCAAGTCTTATGATGTCTTAGGCCTGGAGGGGCTTTATGGGTCCTAGGGCTTGTGGGCCTAGGGCTTTGGGTCTTGGGGGCTACTTAGGGACGTCCGTGGCCACTGATCCGGGGTTTTTTTTGGAATCATACCCCTCAGGTAAAGGATTCATAAAATCTACGTTGAACCCTTCATTTCCTTGTAGGGGAGGTTGAAATAGGGGCCCCCCCCCCCCACGAATTGTAGCTTCAGAAGGACATGGCAAAGTGCCTTGATCTGAATTCTGTGGAGATCTCTCCGATGCACGTGGGGAGTTGTTCTGTTCTTGGAACCCCTTTTGGCAACGATCCGAAACTTTGAGGAATGTGCGCTGATGGGTTTTTGCTTCTTAGTCTTCTCGGAAACGCGAAGCACTAAGCCCTAAACCCTCGTTTAGACCCTCAACCCTAAAGCCCCAACCCTAAACACCCTCAACCCCAAACCCCCCCCCCCAAACAAAAAAGAAAAAGAACAGAAACGCAACAAAACAGCAATAAAAGCCCAAACGCCTTAGAAGAGCACACGATCGCAAAATGGAAAAACCCGAGCATCCCCTCCAGAAAAAACAACAACAAAAAGCCCCAAAGCCCCAAACCCCAAACCCTAAACCCTAAACCCCAAACCCCAAACCCTAAACCCTAAACCCCAAACCCTAAACCCTAGACCCTAAACCCTAGACCCCTCTGAGGTGGGAGAATCGCATCTGCGACCGCGGGGCGGAGCTTCTGGCCAAGGCCCTGGATGCCTACCGAGGCTTGGAGCGCCTTGGGAGAGAAGAAGTTCAGGGTTTAGGGTTTGGGGTTTGGGGTTTAGGGTTTAGGGGCGTTTTAAGGAGTAGGGAGTTTTCGTGTTTAGGGCGTTTGTGTTGAGTGTTGGTTTAGGGTGTCTTTTGCATTCAGTGTTTAGGGTAACAAGGGGCTAGCTATGGCGCATCTTCTTCACGACCCCCAAGCCTACCCTTCTTTCTCGACTATGTTTTCTTCTGATGCATCTGAAAAAGCGCCGGGCTCAGGGTTTGGGTTCTTGCCCTAAACCCTAAACCCTAAACCCTAAACCCTAAACCCTCAGCCCTCAGCCCTCAGCCCTCAGCCCTCAGCCCTCAGCCCTCAGCCCAAGCAAGGTACCTGGGGCTTGGCCGCAACCGCATCACCGACATCGGTCTGCAAGCTCTGTGTCAGCCCTTCAAGCCGGTGGCCCCTCATGATTTAGCCTCTTTTTTGTTGGGTTTAGGGTTTAGGGTTTAGGGTTTAGGGTTTAGGGTTTAGGAATTGGGATTTGGGGCTGGGGCATAGTCATGTAAGTGGGTGGGGGGGGGGGGGGTGGGGGAAGGGGGGAACGATGATATTGTTGCACACTGGCTTTAATAGGTAGGCGCCCCCCCCCCCCCCCCCCGCAACAAATTTGGACCCTCTACAAAGACCTGGCGCGTACGTCGGGCTGGCTGTGGACTACTTATCACGAAATTGGTTTGGGGCCTCGTTTCGTAATGAAATTTAACCAGGATGGGCTATTATGCCTTGTAATCCCCATAATCAACCCTGTAAAGAGTTTTTCAGGGGTTATAGGTCTAATAGCCCGTCCTGGAAGGCTTTAAATGGCCGGGCTTAGCTTTCTGGATTCTCCGGGCTCCGGCTCTTTAAGATTCCTGGAGCCCAAGGGTCTCAGGGTTTCAAGCCTTACTGCGTAAGCCAGTACCCCTAAAACACAAACCCTTTGTTAAAAAAAAAACATCCATCCGGAAGAAAAATAGTGCTAATGGCGGGTAACCCCAACAAACTGATGTCGCAGAATAGATTTCCAAAACTTGCGATTCGAGACCTAAAGCCAGTGCAACATTCCCAGAACTACAGTAATCATCTGGCAGTTTTGGAGCTTTGGATGTCGGAGCTGGAAGGGGATTACTGGCGAGGTGCCGCTTGAAGACAGCGAAGTGGCTGCAGCTCGGGACCAGATCGCTAAGCAGCAGGTAGCCGCAAAATCGGTGGCGGATGCGAAGGACCGAAAAGTCCCCCCAACCTGTAGCCGGGTTTAGGGTTCAGGGTTTAGGGTTTAGGGCTTAGGGCTTAGGGCTAAACCCTAGTGTAAACACCCTGAAACTTAGGAAGTTCCCCCGTTCCCCCTTATGCTAACAGCCCTCAATCGGGAATATCGTACCCCCTTTTCTCATCCCTAAGAAGGCCTGTTAGTATAAGGGGGAACATCCCAACCTCCCTAAAGCCCCAAACGCTAAACCGCTAAACCAAGGGAAACCTCAGTGCACCAAAGCCCAACCTCCAAACCCTAAACCCCTAACCGTAAACCCCTAAACCCCTAAACCCCTAAACCCCTAAACCCCTAAACCCCTAAACCCCTAAACCCCTAAACCCCTAAACCCCTAAACCCCTAAACCCCGAAACCCCGAAACCCCGAAACCCCTAAACCCCTAAACCCCTACACCCCTAAACCCCTAAACCCCTAAACCCCTAAACCCCTAACCCTAAACCCCTAAACCCCAAACGCCCCTTGAAAGGAGAAGGCACGGGGTACCGAGTTCCAGGGCCGCCAGCGCCGCGTCTCCGTCCCTTTGGTGGACGAGCTGGAGGACCAGGGTTCGGAGTTTAGGGTTTAGGGTCTTGGGTTTTTGGTTTGGGGTTTAGGGTTTGGGGTTTAGGGTTTGGGGTTTTAGGGTTTGGGGTTTAGGGTTTGGGGTTTAGGGTTTCGGGTTTGGGTTTTGGGTTTAGAGTGTAGGGTTTGGGGTTTAGGGTTTACGGTTTGCGGTTTTAGGGTTTAGGATTTAGGGTTTAGGGTTCCGGGCTGGGGGTTTAGGACTTAGGGTTTAGCTAATCCGGAGGAGCGTACGGAGTCCGACGGCCCCAACTTTTTCTTGCGGAAGCTCTCCGAGCTCAAATGCCTGGTCTTGTCCGAGAACCCCATCAAGTGTGCCGAGGTGGAGGGATGAGGGCATTGCTATAAGCCCAAAACCCTCGGCGGGCAACCCTAAACCCTAAACCCTAAACCCTAAACCCTAAACCCTAAACCGTAAACCCTAAACCCTAAACCCTAAACACAAAGAAGGGGGACCCACGCAAGTTAGATCTCCTCCTTCAGGTGGTGGAGCAAGTTCAACCGTTTGGGCCTCGCGGCGCGGACTTGCTGCTGCTGGGTTGCTGTTAAGCCCTAAGAGTTTAGGGTTTAAGGTTTAGGGTTTAGGGTTTAGAGCTACTGTACACTTCGGCCCTCAAGTCGCCAAATAGCAAGTACTGCAAGGCGTTGGTTGAGAGGTTTATAGGGTTTGTAGGACTTATCGTCCCCCATTGGTTTCTAGGGGGTTTATATAGGTTTTTATACTACGTCAGCCATCCATAGGGAACCGTCAAACCCTAAACCCAAAACCCAAAACCCAAAACCCTAAACCCTAAACCCTAAACCCTAAACCCTAAACCCTAAACCCTAAACCCTAAACCCTAAACCCTAAACCCTAAACCCTAAACCCTAAACCCTAAACCCCATACCAAGTCGAAGTCCTCGGCCCCGTCGAGCAACCGAGGCTTCGCTGTACCCCTGCAGCGACGGAGCTGGGGTGTAGGCGGCCCGATCTCCTCAAGGAAAAGGAAAGGAAGCTTGGTAGCCCAGTGGTACCCTTTACTCTGTTTTTGGATTTAGGGTTTAGGGTTTAGGGTTTAGGGTTTAGGGTTTAGGTTGAGGTGCCCTTGTTATAATACGGTTACTGTGCTACCAAGGAAGCCGCTCCTGAACCTGGGTTCCTTGGTCGCCTAGGCTTTGGGACATTTTCTATTTTCCATCATTGTGTTTTAAGAGGATCATATTCAGGAACATTCTTCAGAGGAGGCTATCCTTTACACTTTTTGGGATTTGCTTTAATCCCCTACAGACCTGAAAGCGTACACTTTTTTGGGGCTCAGCAACTAAGGTCAGAACTTGGGTCATGGTAAGGATGTGGCAGCGCCACCCGAAGGGTGGGTTCTGCGGCTGAACCCGTTTTGAGAAGGGTTTAGGGTTTAGGGTTTAGGGTTTAGGGTTTAGGGTTTAGGGTTTAGGGTTGAGGGAGGCTGCAAAAGCAGCACCTCTCTGGTGGAGCTCCTCATGTTTCACCTCTGCGCAGGCATTCGTGTCACCCAGATATGCCAAAAACGTCCACTTGAGCACCTGACTTCACAAAACCCTACACCCTAAACCCTAAACCCTACACCCTAAACCCCAAACCCCAAACCCCAAACCCCAAACCCCAAACCCTACATAGTTCTTCCTGCCAACCCTCCACCCCGAGCGCGTTGCGGCTGAACATCGCTTCGGTGGTTGAACCAGCGAAGCGTTCGGCAGTTTCAACCTATCCGAAACGCAACCCACACTATGGAATCATGAGCTGGTCGCCCGCTGTACCATACCCAGGGTTTAGGTTTTAGGGTTAGGGCAAAGGCTCACCCCAAACCCCAAACCCTAAACCCGAAACCCTAAACCCTAAACCCTAAATTTAAGAGCCTCCGGCTCAAGTCGCCGAGCCCGCTGGAGCATAGTTGAAAGGTTTAAACGCGCTCGTCAGCTCAAAGGATGCCAAAATTGATTTGGGTCTCTGTGAGACGTTGGGGGGGAGGGGGGGCAGGGGGGGCAGGGGGGAGGGGGTGTGGGGGGGGGGGTGGGGGGGGGCGGGCTGGGTGGGTATTTTCCCAAAGGACGCGTATGGTCTGTGAGTTTGTGCGGCGTGGGTGGCCTGGCCCTCCATGGAAAAGCTGCCCGGGTACCCCCCCCTACCCCCTTCCCCCCGGGTCAGGAGGGAAAGAGGTTTCCCATCCAACACGCCGCCAGGGTCGGCGGACCCTAAACCCTAAACCCTAAACCCCAAACCCTAAACCCTAAACCCTAAACCCTAAACCCTAAACCCTAAACCCTAAACCCTAAACCTAAACATCCTGAACCCTAAGCCCCAAAGCAAGCGCGGCCTTGAGGCAGCTGGAGGCAGCATGCGAGCGACTGGCATCGAAGCGGACCAACCGGCCACAGCCTCATTTGCTCCTCCTTACTTTTCTACAGACCCGTTAGGCCCTGAGGTGCCCTGAGGTGCCCTGAGGGGTTTAGGGTTTAGGGTTTAGGGTTTAGGGTTTAGGGTTTAGGGTTTAGGGTTTAGGGTGTTTGCAAGAAAAACAGAGAGCTCAATACTCTGAAACAAGGAGTAGACCAGCAACCACGAAAGGGCTCCCTATCCAGTTTTTCCTTAGTTAAGGAGGCTCTTTGGACTACCTGTTAGCTTAGCTTCCGGCACCCTAAGCATCCCCAAGCCCAAAATCCGAAACCACATTCCGTGACCTGTCACAGCATCACGTCATGGTGAGGTTGCACCCCTTGCCTTCACTCCCGGACGAGGCCTCAGGGTTTAGGGTTTAGGCTTCAGGCTCTAGGGTTTAGGGTTTCGGGATGCTTGTGACATGAACTGGACGCAGGCGATTGAAGCCAATGGCCTACCTGGGTGTCCTGCGTCGGAGCCTTGCAGTCTGGGATCCTATACTCGCCCCTTCGGGGCTTTGTAGGGTTTAGGGTTTCGGGTTAAGGGTTCAGGGTTCAGGGTTCAGGATTTAGGGTTTAGGGTTTAGGGTTTAGGGACCCTAGCTACCCCTACCGCCCTATCTTCGTACCCTAAGCCCTAAACCCCCTCAACCGCAACAAAAAAAGACCAAAAGAGCCCTTGCTTGGGGCCCTGATCTGGGTGCAGCGGGTAGTTCTCCGGTCTTTGTGCTCTTGTCACTCTTGCAGTTGAAGTTGCTACAAGGCCAAACACCGCACGCGGAGGCCAAACTGGTCCATGCATCCTGTTGTTGTTGGGAACATTGTCATGTGAGGGTTTACGAAAATACGGGACCCTAATATAAACCCCAACTACTCATAATAAGGATCAGAATAATGTATTTCGGATGTTAGCTCAGGGTTTAGGGGTTCAGGGCACCGCCGAGCATACCTTGATCTTTGAAGCGCCAGTAGCAGGGCAGCTTTGTCTGTTCGACCAGCACCCAGACCTTACTCATGGTTCCTTTGTTGGGGGGGTACCTTCTTTTGGTTATAATACAACCACATTACATGACAAATAGGTGGGGAACTAAAATGAAGGGTCCACTTATGGTTCAAACTCTCACCCCCCGTTCAGGTTCAGTGCACCCAATGATACCTCTAAGCCTAAAGCCTAAGCCCTAGCTAAACCGTTTTGGAAGGCTGTGGTCAAACCAGATCGTCTTCGCGGAAGGAGCGGCAAACAACATAAGCCGCACCCAAAGAGGTTTAGGGGTCATGTGGTTTAGGGTAGCCAAAGTACGCTGCAAGCAGAGCAGTCCCTAATTGTACATGGTTATGACTGACAGGCATGCTCAAGGCTTCTGTCTCTTGGCAGAAAGCAAGGAAGGGAACACGCACACAGGCCCGCACGCATGCATGCACGCACAGACAGACAGACAGACAGACAGCCAGGCAGACGGGCAGACAGACAGACAGACAGACAGACAGACACACACACACACACACATACATACATAGAGACACACACACACATGCAATGAAGCCTATTGTGGACACGTGCAGAAGCAGGCGCTTCCTCAAACCTAGTTTAGTGTGTGGGGGTCTTCAGACCCCGCTAGCTAAGAGACAGCTGACTGGGACCATCCATCGTCAAGGCAGCTTTTTGATTCTAAAGGGAGTCTAAGTTAATAATAAAGCAAATCGCCCAGGGTTCCTGCCTAGGCTTAGGGTTTTTCAGTTCCTTTGGGTTTCGGCTACCCTAGGAAGGAGGGCCAAGCCTTTCTGGATCAATCCCCCCCCATATTTAATGCGGGCTGACAGTATATCCGGGTTGCCCTTAACTCTCAACCCTAAACCTGTTCAGGGATCATAAGTCGCGCTGAAGCAATGCGGATATAGACGTAAACATACTAGTGCTTCCAAGTTCCTTGACAGCAGCGCAGATTGTACAATGTAGGGGCGTGCACAAAAATGTCCCCAAAAAACTACCCAAATTAAGCATTCTGATTGCGTTCTTACGAGGCTGCTGATCACTTCGCGAACCCTTTTTTCCCAAGTAATTCGCGCCAAGCCCTAGACCCTAAGTCAGGATGCGGGCCTGCAAAGATCAGGCAGTGACATGCCGGCCTCCCAGCGAGAGGGCAACCCTGGGCAACCCCCACCCAACCCCCTCAACCTTTTGGGGCTTAAAGGGTAAACCCTAAGCCCTAAAACCCTAAGCCCTAACCCCTTTTCGGGCTTAGGGCCCGCAGCCGGTTCTGAGGCATCGGACACCGACATTGCGCCACAGCTTGCGAAACAGCCAAAAGGCCCTAGACGAGCAGGGCTGCTGCAATTGAGGGGTGCAGGGTGGCTGCTTGGATGCGTTTGAACGAGGAAAGCCAAAATGGCAAGCACCCGAAGCATCTGTATGGGGTTGGTCTAAATCAAAACCCTGGTTTAGTGTGCCTTATGGCACACAATGTCGACCCTCCACCGGCATTGTCATTGTGATCTTGTCGTTGGTCTACGGAAGGTTTCATGTTCCCTGAATACGTCCCTTACCGTTTTAAAGGGTATGGGCCTTGGGCGTTAAGGGTTTGTAGGGGGTATATAAGGGTTCCTATTTTAGGGTTCCTGAATGAAGGGCCCGGATGAAGAGACCACGTAGCTACCCTCAGAGCGCTGCATGAGGCCCGGGGGAACCTAAGGCAATGGGCTCCTGAAGAAATGATAGGGCCCTGTTCTTTTCCCAGGGTTGGTATGGGGGGAGTCGGGGAGGTGCCTAACCCAATGAACACCCTTAAACCCCGAAGATCAATGCGCCAGGCCCTCCAGCAGACTCTCCTGGAAATCCGGCAGCTGAATCAGCAGAAGCGCAGCTCGGTTAGCATGTTCAGAGTATTTGGGTATGATGAGATGGACGCTTTTGATGATACCCTGATCCCTTCGGTGGTCCCCAAGGGAAAGCGCGCCCTCTGATAAGGCCCCTGTTCCCAGAACAAAGGCTTTACTCGCGGGCCTTAGTGCTCTTAGCTCCCTTCGCAAGGAGACGTCATGCAGATCGTGGAATCTGAATATGTCACTTTAAGTGCGTGAGTGAAGCTTCAAGGTTCAGCTCAGGAGAAACCCCAAACCCTAAGCCCGAACCCGAAACCCTAAACCCCAAACCCTAAACCTGGATCTCCTGTCTTGACGGGTCTGAGTCCGCCAGTTTTCAACCGCCTTTGGTTGGGGAGGGCATATGGGTGGGTGAAATGACACGGTCTAGGGTTTAGGGTTTCGGGTTTAGGGTCTAGGTCTAGGTAGGCCCTTGGGACATTTGATGTCTTCCCTTATTAGGTTTAGGAGGATCATAGGCAGGAATATTGATCATGTTCTACTTGTAGGGTTCTGACCCCATAAACTGCAAGCCTCCAAAATGGTTGCAGTTCCAGTTGGAGAAAATTTCTAAGCGTAAACCGCAAGCTAAACCTCCAGACTCTTCAAGGGCCCCGAAACCCTAAACCCTAAACCCTCAACCCTACCATAACCCCCAAACCCCAAACCCCAAACCCTAAACCCGAAACCCGAAACCCGAAACCCTAAACCCTAAACCCTAAACCCTAAACCCTAAACCCTGAACCCTAAACCCTAAACCCTAAACCCTAAACCCTAAACCCTAGCACAAGCTTTGAGGCCATGTTCAGAAGGAGATTGCCCGGAGCTCAGCCTTCAATGACAGCATCTTGGTAGGCTCCTTACATTGGAGGTCCGTGTTGGGTTCCTTATGCAGGGTTTAGGGTTTAGGGTTTAGGGTTTAGGGCCTTAGGGTTTGGGGTTTAGGGTTTCGGGGGTGTCAAAAGGGACCCTAATCGAGGGTACCGACTGCACAGTGACCGCAGACTAACACATAAGTGTTCTTTACGATGCATGCCTCGAGACCCTAAACCCTAAACCCTAAACCCTAAACCCTAAACCCTAAACCCTAAACCCTGGATTCAGCTTACCTGGGGCCCGAGGAGCACCGCCAGCTTTCAAACAGCTCTCCGCTGAGACAGCAGGTGGGTTTATTAGAGGGTTTAGAGTTCAGGGTTTACGGAGTTTGGGGATGTTTAGGGGTTAATGGGGTTTAGGGAGTTTAGGGTTTAGGGGGTTTAGGGTTTAGGGGGTTTAGGGTTTCGGGAAACAGGGCCTAGGGTAGGGTGATTGACAGCTTCGTGTTTAGGCTTTAGGGTTTGGGGTGATTGACAGCTTCGTGTTGGTAATGCAATGTAAGTTTGATGGTGCCACAACCTGCCTTCCGCAAAGATTCGTGGCAACCGAAACAGGGCTTGAGGCATAAGATACAGCAGAACCTTGTGGTAGCAGATAGAGTGCTCCTCTCACAGGACAACTGGGTCTTCACCCTGTCATTTCCGACATCAACATTTAGCAGCTCTGCGGGCGTTGGGCGCGTTGCCGTGTGTGCTCTGGTTCGGGTGCGCCGCTACAAGTGTGACCCGTCATGTCGGGTGCATTGGCTTGCTTCTCTTGCCCTCACCTCGCTTGGGGCGGAACTGGGGGTTTTCATCTTGGGCGGGTGCTGGGTTGATTAACAAAAATGCAATCAGGATCCCACGGACAGATCACCACCGCCACCCAACTTCCCTCACCCGAACCCTAAAGGTAGACGTTGAGGTTTAGGATTTAGGATTCAGGGCTTAGGGTGGAGAGTTGACTCTAAACCGGTTCATGCTTCACACACCTCACATACCTCTAAACCCTGAACCCTGAAGCCCGAACAGCCCTGGGAGCCCTCAACCCTACAAACCCTAAACCTGAACCCTCAGTGGCCAAACAGGCTCCGGGCCTTTGGGCCCCGTAACCTTCCCCTAAACCCTAAACCTTTTTCGAGGAGGTGCAGAAGCTTCTGGAGAAGAGGCGATCCCTCGAAGAGGTTCCTGTGCGGATGTTGCACTGGTTCTGTGGGGCCACTGAGGGTTTAGGGTTTAGGGGCTAGGGTTTAGGGTTTAGGGTTTAGGATCCCTAAACCCTAAACCTTAAACCCTAAAACATAAACCCTAAACCCTAACCCCTAACCCTAAACCCCAAAACCTGACTTGCGATGGTGAGGCGCTGAACTTCAAGATTCACGAGGAAGTCTCTGCCAGGGGACGGGTGCGCTCCGCATTTTGGGGTTAGGAGGGAAGCCCTGGGAGCCTGAGGGAGTATTGGGGAGTATTCGGAAACCTTGGGTTGCATACTACCCTTGAACCCCCCGTCCCTTCAGAACACCTATACAGGGTTTCAGGGAGTCGAGACAGCGAGCTTCCTTCCTTCACTGACCGATGATCCTGCGACAGTTTCCTGACTGTCAATATCCTCGGCTCAAGCGCCAAAGCCTGAAGCGCTTAAATCAAAAGCTCTACCCCGTAAGCCCTAAACCGCAGTGTTGTGACGCGAGGACAACTTTTTGAATTGTTAATATGGATATATCGAGTCATGCGGAGACGATCATGTAGGGCACTGGCCAGGTCGGTTCCTGAACCCTAAACCCTAAACCCTAAACCCTAAACCCTAAACCCTAAACCCTAGAGGGTTTGATGAGAGATGCTTGCGACATGAGAGACTCCCACCATGGCCACGCAGCGCTGGGCGCTGTTTGCTATACTTGCGCTGGGGCTGTACCTCTGCAGGCACTTGAGGAGAGGTTCTATCCCTTTAGGGTTTAGGTTTAGGGTTGAAAGGTTTTTTCTTTTATCGTGGTTTGTGTTTATTGTTTATATAATATTCGGACTCGGAATATCAACACGTATTTGTATTAAGGTTCTACGGGGAGCATAGTTTCTGGGCACAAGAAAGTGCAAGACTTGAGGGGATCTTACTCCCCAAGCTTGAAGCCCTTAGCCCTAAAAAGCCCGAACGCCCTGGATGTTTGGCCCAACACAAACCCCAAACCCCAAACCCCAAACCCTAAACCCTAAACCCTAAACCCCAAACCCTAAACCCTAAACCAGGTATGTGCTCTACAGCGTGCCCCTGCCGCAAGGGGACTCCGCGGCGACGCTGGAAACACCGGGCGTCGACCTGGAAGCCAGGCTGGAGGAAGCCAGGGAGCTCGAACCTTGGGAATTAGGGTTTAGGGCTTAGGGCTCAGGGCTTAGGGTTTAGGGCTTAGGGCTTAGGGTTTAGGGTTTCGGGTTCAGGGTTTAGGGTTTACCTCTGAAATGCTAAAGGGTTATAGTCTATAGTTCTAGTTGTGGCCCCAATACTGCATAGGGATTATAGTAGTGTAGGGGTATATGACCCCCAATTTCAGGGTTCGTTTGGTCCTCAAGGAAGGCTCCGAGCTGGAATCGCCGGAGGCTCCTCTGGCACCGCAGGAGAGCAAGGGCTTCGAAGCGCAGCTAGAGACGAAGGATCCTCCCCCGGAGGAGAAGGGAGACCCGTAAAAGGAAACCCTAAACCCTAAACCCTGAACCCCAACCCTAAACCCTAACCCTAAACCCTGAACCCTCTTCTGGCTCTCTTAAAGCGGGACCTTATTCAGAGGGTCTATATCCCCAAGGGTCCCCCTAATCCTATCCCTTAGGATCCGCCGCTGGAAGACAAGCCCAAGGAGAAAGCCGAGGATGAGGATGAGCCTCCCGAGGCAGAAACCCCAGGGCCAGCGCGGTTGGAGAATGCTGAGGCTGCCTGTGCTGGCCCCATGCTTCCACCGAATCTTTCGGTTCCTGTAGCGGCGGAACTCAAGACAAAGATCTGGAAAGCAACGCGCGAGTGGGGTTATGATCAACAAGCCTTCAGCTACCTCGCTTGGCCAATGAATGAACGTTGAACTTGGTTGATCTTTTTTTATTTCATAGCAAGAATCAAGTTCCTGGTTACTCCTTGGGTTTTGGGGAAGTAAGGCTACAGACCCTTCAAGGGTCTGAACCTTCTGGACATCGGAATGGGCCAAGGGCCCATGGGTGTCGTTGCGATGCACGTCGGGGTGAAGTCTTACAAAGGGATGGACCCAGCTCTGTGCATCAACCGTCACGCCCTGACGCGAGACAAGCGAGTTGCTCGGGGACGAAATTGTACCTTTACCTGAAGGTATATTATGGACAATCGGGTAGCAACCCTAAAATACAAGGTTCATTTTATCCTAAACCCTAGACCCTAAGCCCTGAACCCTACATAGGAAGCCCCATAGTGTGTCCCAAGGTTGGGCGCGCTCCGAATCCCATAGAGTGTCAGATGCTGAAAGAATCCGCTGCGTGCCAGGCGAAGGGTGCGGCTAGACCGTCCTGGGGAATGTTTTGCTATGCTTTATTGGTTTCAGGGTTAGGGTTTAAGGGTGCATAATTCCTGTAAGACGCCGAGCCAACCACCACCATTTCGTTACCCTCACCCCTTCAGAAAGTACCCCCATTATACGTAGAATCATTGACAGTCAGACAGACGGTCCAAAACGCACTTTCGGGCTTGGGATAACAAGTGGTCCTAAGCCCTGTAGCCCTTAACCCCCAGTACCCGTGGGCCCCAAACCCTAAACCCTAAACCCTAAAGCCCTAAACCCCAAACCCTGATACAGCTGAGGAGGAGTGCGAGATGTTCCAGCAATGCACTCGGCTCATGTCGAAGAAGTATCGAAAGTTCCCCTTCACCGGACTCGAGATGATGCAAGCCTTCTCCGGCTCTTGGGACCTTCCCAGATCTTCCAAAGCCCCTGAATCAAGGAATATACCCTACTTTATACTGAGGATCATTATTAGGAATTAGGGTAGATTCGTATCTTCAGGGGTTTTGGAAGATCTGGGTTAAGCGTAGAGGGTTTAGGACCTAGGGTTGTCGAGCTTGGGGTTGCGGGTCTAGGATTTAGGGGCCATCTAGGGTGTGGGCAAGGCCGCACGGCCGTGTTTTCCGGCTTGAGAGCATGGGACCTGTCAGCGTTTGATTGCCTTCATCCCTAAACTAAGGGTTCTCTTCTCGTCATGCTGTAGTCATGGGGTCCATGTTTTTGGGCAGCGATAAACCCCAAACCCCAAACCCCAAACCCTAAACCCTAAACCCCGAACCCTAAACCCCAAACCCTTCACCAAGGGCAGATCATCTTGCTGCCTGGCACGTTTGCCACGCTGCGCCCCACGGGGCTGATCAAGCCAGGCAGCTTCGACGTGGCTACGCTCTGGCTGGTGACAGAGCGGCTAGGTTAGGGTTAGGGTTTAGGGGAGTATGTACTATACTAACTCCCAAGACCTTATTCTAATTATTCAGGCCCCAATATTAGGCCTGTGGTATATGGGTACTTCTCTAAATTGGGCTCCCTTTTAGGGTCCCCCATTTTAGGCGGCACCCTTATCATGAGGACCCTAAACAGGACCCCAATTTAGAGAACTACCCATCTGTTTTTGTGTTCTCAGTTTTTTGGGGAATCTTTTTTGTCTCAGATGTTTTGAAAGCGCCGAGGCACCTGCCCGACAATCGCCAGGTCATCGAGGGCATCTTCGAGTGGACCAACCCTGGGCAGCTTCTGGCCATGAAGCATCACAACTACTATGGCTTCGATGGCCACCACCAGAAGCCCCGGTACCCGGAGGATCACAATGCCAAGAATGTTGCGGAGAACGGGGTGGTGTTTTGGAAACACTTGGATCCAGCGAGTTGGGTTTTCAACTACACCAACACCAATCGCGTGCGCCTAGGTGGGGGGGGGAGGGGTGGGGGGGTGGCGTGTCGTTCCGTTCTGACTTGAGGGTCCCCTTACAGGCGCCTTGATTTTCCAAGAGTCCGATGTCAAAAGGCGACTCACATAAAGGGGAAATGTATAGCCTCGGCCCTAGTGAACCTTCTAGGTGACCTCATTGCACTTGTGGACGTCTACTTCGACTGTGCCTGGCGTGCGACCCTTGGCGACAAAGTGAACCCCCAAAGATTGACCATCCATCCAAGCCAAAGTCGCCCTGCCAATGATCAGGTAGATCAGTACCGATAGAGAGGTCTTGTGCCATTCTACGCTTAGCCCACCTGCCTTTGGAGTCTTGAAGCTGCAACAGCTTGCGCACCACTGGCCGGGTGCGGGGCACGCTGCATGATGATGTACTACCGAACGTCCTTGTTGAGGCCAAACGCACGACGGTGGAGTAAGGGCTAACGCGCTCATTGGGGCACTTCTCGCCCAGTCAGCTGATCTACTTCGAGTTCTCGCTTCTTAATCTCCAGATTGTCGTCCATGGGTCAGGTAATCCCTTGCCCCAGAGACCGCAAACCAAAAACGTTCCTGGAACGGGGTTCCTCTACACCCTAAGCCCCAAGCCCTGTACTACCATCGTCTATAATCCCAAATTCAGGGGGACCCTTATCAGTTACATAGGGGGAATAAGATGAAGGGTCCCTTCTAAGGGTCCTCCCTCTACCACCCAAGCAAAGGACCTTTGTGGCCAGCTGGGAGCGTGCGCTAGCAAGCCGGCCGCAGCTGTTGCGCGCCCTGCAGCAGCGAGGGTTCCAGCAGCTCGGGGGCTATTGGGTTTCAAGTTTGAGGGATAAGGTGAGGGCTTTGGGTTTATAGTTTAGGATAGGGTTTAGGGAGCACTAAGGAGACCGAGTGTATGTTTGCTTCAGCACAGATTTTGGGGTAGAACGGACCGGTACATTTGCCCCCAAGGCAGAACGAGCTGCTGATCAACAAGTGGACCGTTGCTTGCGCACGCCGCGAACGGCCCAAGGGCGAGGGCGGCACCACGAGCGAGTGGCTGGACTCCCGTGTCTGGCTGCACCCGGCAACCGACGGCTCGTACACGCCCCGGCCACTCCCAAAGAAGCTGAGCAAGAAGATGCCCAAGACGGAGGGCTCGCGGACGGTTGTGGTTGAGTTCGTCCCTGCCGGCAGGCAAAACCTGAAACGATATCTTGTTGGATGATGTCAATCACCACGTCGCGTTTCCCGCGCTGCATTGCTAAAGCCACGTCGACGCTAAGACCTCGGGAGGGCGCCACGCTCAAGCGGCTGTGTCCGCCGAAAACTGGATCATCAAGATGGATGGTGCTACCGAGTCCCAACCCAGAGATCCCAATACCCCCCTCAAGTAAGGAATGGACCTCAAGCTATATAGGGAACCTCAGTATATATGATTCAGGGTACATTCCTTAAGCTAGGGGGGTGTAGGGCTCTCTGGGCATCTATGGCCCCCAAC